AGCAAATTGTCACTGAGTTGGAGATTTGGAAAAAATTCATGAAGACAGTCCAGAAGTTGGAAGATCAAGGCTGTTCGGTGAAGATGCTTCGGAGACTATTTGCTGCCAAAGAGCCATGGATCTATCCTGACTAGAAGAAGACAAAAAGTTCTTCAATAAGTAAGTTTATGCTTAAGAGCCTCTGCTTACAAGTGCCCATCCTAGGCTCTGTAACTAGTCTTGTGTCCATAATTCTGTGTCCCCCCGCTTTTTTTAGAGAGGGTCTCACTATGTAGTTGAGGCTGACCTGGAACTCACTATGTAGCCCAGGTTGGTCTCAAATTCACAGCGATCCTCCTGCCTCAGCCTCCTGAATGCTGGGATTACAGGCGTGCACCACCATGCCCAGCCTGTATTATTCTTCTTACAGAAAGTGTTCAAAATAGAAGAAGCTTTAGGCTTCATGAAACCTGGATCTACCCCCAGTCCTAACACTCCAGTTTTGCAAACTCTGAGACCCTACATTTGAAGATAGAATTCCAACTTTAGTAAGATCTCAAAAGATCACCTGGTGTATCTCTGTCATCAACTCCCAAAACTCTTTTCTTAGACTTCCCAGATGCAAGTCACTTCTCAATTGCACATTTATGTGGTTAACTCCCTAAAGTCAAGAAACCTCTCCTTCTGTCTGCTTGCCTCTCCTGTTTTAATTGAACATCATTTCTTCTTTTTCAGACTTTGTGGATTTGGAGACCATATCTCTCCTTTCCCTGGGATGCTGGCATGTCCCTCAAGAAACCTGGCAAACAGATTACAGAGACAATGTTGCACATTTACCACACTGTATTTTTCTCTGGAGTATACTGGAAGATGACATTTCCCATCCTCCCTCACAGGTAATTAAGACCATGTGACAGAGTTCACAATCAATGGAATATGGGTGAAGTTGATAAAGCACTGCCCATTTTGGCCATTAAAAGCATCTTGCACTGAGGACACTGGTGTACACCTGTAACCCTAGCTACTCAGGAGGCTGAAGAAGGAGTTTTCAAGTATTTTGTTGTTTTTTTGTTTTGTTTTGTTTTTTTCTTTTGTACCAGGGATCGAACTTGGGACCTTGCACTTATGAGGCAGGTGGCAGCACCACTGAGCTAAATTCCCAGCCCAGGAGTTTTCAAGTTCAAGGACACCCTGGGATATCTAGCAAGACCCTGTCTTAAACAAACACAAAAGTAGACCTAAAAAGTATACCACTTGTCTCTTCTCTTCTGCAGAATCTTGAGAATTCATGTGTTCTAGACAGTCCAGATCTGTAGATAAATATATCCTGGGTCCCTTGCTTACCCCTTAGAAAGAGCTGCCAAGCAGCAACAGGATGGTGAAATGAGGGAGGATTAAACTTTTGCTATGTTACGCCACTGAGAGTCCAGTGTTCCCTTGTTACTGCAGCACAGCCTACACCATCCTGATGAATGTAGTCTCTCAGCAGTCACCTGCACTCCACCTTCAAGTTTAGGACTCTCCCTCTGTGAGATCTTGGAAGTTCATACCCAAAATTGGACTGCAGAGTATGTACCAGGGTAGAGACCATTTTAAGGAATCTGAATTCAGAAGAATACTAAGTCATCCCTGAGCCTCGTCCTCTCCCAGTGAAGCAGTATCAGCACCTCCCAGCTGACTCCGTCTCCTTTCTTAGGTTTTCCTTCCGTTTCCCACATCTTTTAAGGATCAGTGATGCAGATTAAAAGGATAATTCAGGCTGGCCACATAAGTGTACAACAATAATCCCAGCCACATGGGAGGCTGAAGCAGAAGGATCACATGCCGGAGGTCAGCCTGGGCACTTAGCAAGATAAAATAAATAAATAAGATTAATAAAAATGGCTGAGGATGTAACTCAGTGATACAGCATTTGTCCAGCATGTGTGAAGTCCTGGGTCCATATCTGAATCCCCTGTACAACACAATAAAATAAAATTTTTAAAAAGAGAAATATTGTCTAATCATAACAGAGCCCACAATGTATCCAGAATAGAGCACAGGTAAGCCACCTTATATGTCTCCTTATGTCTACAGTTGCAAAAACATAATGAGTTTTAAAGGTATTTAATTTTTTAAAATCACAATATGATATTACCTCACCCATTAAGAATGGCTGTTATCCAATTGTCATGACATATATACTAATAAAGAATAGAACATTATAAATAAAAAAATGGCTGTTATCAAAAGGACTAAGGACTATAAGGGTTGCCAAGAATATGGATAAAAGTAAACACTTGCACGTTGTTGGTAATAATATAAATTAGTAGAGCCATTATGGAAAATAGTATGGAGTTCCCACAAAACATAAAATTCGAACTGTCACATGATTTGTTAATCCCACTACTGCATAGAATGCCAAAGGAAATGAAATCAGTTATGTCAGAGACACATCTGTATTCCCATATTTATTGCAGTACTAATCACAATAGCCAAAATAGAAATGGAAATGGCCTAACCGCCCATCAACTGATGAATGGATAAAGAAAAGGTGGTCGATATATTAAATGGAATATTATTTGGCCATAAAAAATAATGAAATCCTGTTGTCATTTGCAATAACATAGAGGGAACTAGAGATCATTATGTTAAGTGTGTAAATGAAATAAGCTAGACACAGAAAGACCAATACTACATAATCTCATTTACATACAGAATATAAAAAACTTGATCTCATAAAAGGTGAGAATGGAATAGTGATTGCCAGAGAAGATTAAGGAGTGGAAGGGATGAGGGATCAGTACTAAGTTATAGATAGATAAGAGTAAGAAGTTCTGGTGTGCTATTGCACAGTAAGCTAACTATAGATAATAACAGTGTATTATATATTTCAAAAGGCTAGAAGAAAGGATTCTGAATGTTCTTACCATAAGAAAAGATAAATGTTTGCGGAGACAGATATATTTAACTTGATATAAATGCTATACAATGTATACATGTACCAAACATCACAGGGTACCTTATAAATATGTGAAATTTTATTGTTATGTATCAGTAAAAAAATGTTAAAATTTTTAAAATCACAAACTTGGCAAATTGAGTATATACATTTATTATAATTTCTTTCTCATTCCCACCAAAATGTGAGTTAAAGAATAGAAGAGGAGTAATCCCATAAGAGCAAAAGGAATCTCACACACACACACACACACACACACACACACACACACACACACGCAGCAGAAGATAAGAGCTGTCAACAGATTTTTGGAAGCTGGAAAGCAGGTGAAGGTATCATGGGCACTGAGGCATTTGAAGACCATGTGCCCACACAGGGGGACGCCATGAGGATGGAGCCAATGCAAGCTGTGAAATCTTGGCCAGGCACCAAGCTTGCCGGCGCTGGGGACTGCAAGGGACAAGGAGGAGCTGTGGAATGGAAACCTGGGTGGTTGACTGAAGGGTGGTATACGAAGCAGTTAGGCACCCCCAGTTCCCCAGTACAGCCAGGTTACTGCCTTTCCCCAGACCCCAGGGGTTTATTTTGTGAAGTTGAGGGTCCGAAGCCCATGTGAACAGGAAGTGCCATAAAGAAAGCAAGAGGATTAAATAACGACCTGTTTACTGGATACTTGTATCCCCAGTCTCCACTGCAGTATATCTGCAAGATATCAGCAACTAGAGCTACACCATCCCCTATCCATGTAAAGTTGGTGGATTCAGATGCCTTTTTTTTTTAAGTGGTAGGCTTTTAGAAAATTTTAATAGACATAATAATTTGTACCAATTTATATAGGGTACAATATATTTTGATACAAGTATACAACATGTAGTAGCAAATCAAGGCAATTAGCATATTCATCACCTATAGCATTTATTCTTTCTTTGTGTTGAGAACCATTAAAATCCCATCTTCTAGCTATTTAGAAATCCACAACAAATTATTGGTAACTATAGCCACCCTACTGTGCTATAGAACACTTGATCTTAGTTCTCTTTCTAACTATTTTGTACTCAGTAGCCTCTAGAGAAATCAAATGGACCCTAAAAAGGATTCATTGCTACTGACACTTGGTGATTCCCAAAGGAACGCCCAGGAGCTATGGCTTTTCTAGTGAAGCTCATCAATTGACAATGATGCCCATGCACAGAGTGCCAGCTGGCTTTTTAATGTCATTCTTTACTTGATCTTAGCCAAAAGGCCAAGAAGCGATTTTTAATGTCATTCTTAAGTATGAATGGACTGCAGACATAACCAAAACCTTGAGGAATGTCTCCAAACAAAAGACAGAAGCTGAAACCAACAGATAGGAATAGAGAGGCATTTGGAGAAAGGAAATATCAAAGAATTGATTGTTAATAGCACAGAAAGTAAAAGGAGATATTTTACCCATAAAACCAGAACAAAAGATGGTACAAAAAATGAATAATTCAAATTGGACTGTGGTGATGGTTACACACCTCTATAAAGTTACTAACATTATTACACCTAAAATAAGTGAATTTTGTATCATTTAAGGTATTTGATAAGCCCTTAGATATTAAAAACATAATAACAGAGGACCAGGGATTTAGCTCAGTGGTTCTGCCACCTGCCTTGCAAGTGCAAGGTCCTGAGTTTGATCCCTGGTACAAAATAAAAAAATGAAATAATAATGAAAGAAAGGGAGTAGTCCATAGAAGGATTTTAAAAATATGATCAAGGACATCTCTCAAAGTGGGAAAAAAGTATAGAAAATAAGAGAAAAAAGTAGAAAATTAGATAATCCACCTAGAAAATCCAACAAAAGAAACAGAGAAAATAGAAGCCAATGAAATAATATAAAAATATCTCCCAGGACTGAGAAACCTGTGTTTGTAGAATTTTAAAGCCCTGTGACAGTATTTACTAGCGAAGTAGATGTAACACAAGATATACTACATATATATATGAATTTACAAGATTGGCTTACAATGGCCACCCACACAGTCGCATGAGAAAGAGAACAGAGGCTCTGTCTGCACACTGGAGACTCAAGGATTTAGTCAAAAGTCTGGAGCTCACTGCAGTGTCCCATGCATGCGAGTGTGCATCAGGAGGCTGATGGGTCTGTGAGGGAAGATGGAAGAGTCTATGCCAGAAGGCTGAAGGATCTGTTCCAGAAGCCAGAGTCTGCTCTAGAAGCCAAGGTAAAAGCGAAGACCAGAACTCCTCAGAAGAACAGATGATGATCTGTCCTTCATTTCTCCTTTATACTATCCAAGAGATGAGCCACCCTAGGGTGGGGAAATGTGGAATTGCTGAGCTGATTTAGTTAAGCTTCTCTTAACCAAACTTCTCAAATTGACATAATCAACCATCACGAGCCCATTGAAGGCTGGGCATAGCTCGGTGATAGCGCGCTTAGCATGTTAGGAGGCTTTGGACTTGATTCGCAGCACCATAAGCACCCAACACAGTGAATGAAGAAAGACCCACACTAACTTCATGGTGATGCATATGAAGATAAAGGAAGGTCTTAAAGTTTCCAGAGGAGGGGAAAAACAGGCTTACAAAGAAAATGATCATTACTAACAGAGGCATCACCCCTCCCTGGTAATTTCTCATTGTAGAAGCCAGAAAGCAACAGAGAAATGTGCTCAAGATCACTCTTACCATGGCAAAACAACAACAAGCAAACAAAAGTCAAGCATTAATCTTAAACAGCAAGTCTTTGATACGGTCAACACATGTGTATGTGTGTGCATGGACGAGTTTCTGGGTTCATCTCCCCTCACCTCCTCTTTCCTTCTCCTCTCTCCCCTCTCCGGGCTGCTATCTCCCTTCTTTTTCCCCTTTCCAGTCTCTCTCCCTGCTGTCTATTCGGTTGCTCATCACATACAACTGAAGGAATATTTTCTAATTAATTCCTTCATTTGTTAAATCAGTTTGTTTTCTGTTCTCCATGTTAAAGGCAACAAGTGGAACATTTTATGTTTTTGCATTACAAAAGAGAAATTAAACTGCTCTGGGGCTTTTGCTCGGTGGCCTCTGAGGTGTCCCTCCTGGATTTCTGTGTGGGAAGCCTCATCTCACTTCCTCTCCAGCAAAGACAGTTTCAGGTTTGTGGGTCACTTCAGATGGGAACAGGAGGCTCAGCTACTTCTGAGCTCAAACTCATCATATGCATTTACACTTAGACTGTTCCAAACAAGTCATCCCGCTTATTAGTAGGAAAAAAAGAGCCTAGATCTTTGGCCTTCAATAAGAGAGAGGCCTTTTTATTCTATATCCTTGTATCCAGCTGGCCCTCTCAATGCTCACCCTCCAAGGATATCTGCCTCTCTAGGCCAGGCTTTGAGCAGAGGCTGCTCTGGGTCAAGACTTATGCAGAGGTGGAGGATGGCCTCGGTGGCCATCCACCCCTTGGCACACAGTTTTTGAGTGCCAACTATGTGTTCGATTCCATAGAAAAAACTGAAGCCCAGATGTTTGTCTTAAGAACTCACTGTCTATAGTGGTGGCGGTGGGGGAGGCCCATAAGCAAATAGTTATTCAATGTGACAACTGTGGTAGTAAAAGTATGTAGAAAGCATTGGAAACTTGGAAGAAGCAGGGGCTCCTTATGTGCTGGAACACGGAAGAAGCTGTCCCAGAGGAGGTCACTGGGCACTGGTTCTTGAAGGGTACGCGTGACACTGAAAGACGGAGGAGGCCTGAGATCGGGGGGTGGGCAAGCTCAGATGAACAGCATGTGAAAGGGCTCTGAGGTATGTGAGAACATACATGTGGCTCTGGTAAGTGGGACATGATGGGAGGTGAGCTTCCCCAAATTCCCATGGTATCTATTACCTTCAGGGTCTGGTCCTGCATGATCTGGAGTGAGTCGTGGGTCTGTCATCAGCAGGATAGAGCTGCCTGGCCAAGGAGCTTTTGGGTATATGATAGTTACACTGTCAACCAGTAGTTCCCTTCACTCTCAGCCAGACTCTCAGGTCAGCTGCCCGCTGCTGGTCTCCTCTGGGGCAGCCTTCCGGTTCTCCCTGGAGATTGAGGGCCATAGCAGCCCTGTCTCCTGTGGGGCCTGGGGGAGCTCAGTCTTCAGGGCCTGGGTTTCTCTAGACTGACCCACCGTAGTAATAGTGAAGACAGCAGCAGCACAGACCAACTGCTACTACTGTGACTAGCCCTGGCCCCTAGAGTCCGGGACAGGGCTCTGTATGTTCCATATCTGTGCCCCCAGCACCCACCTCCTCCTAAGTGCCTGCACATGGTAGGAGCTGTATTCCTGTTTGTTGAATGAATCACATGCTGAAAAAGGGAGAAGGAAAACAAGAGACAGACAGGGAAACAAAGAGACGGCTTTTAAAATGGAAGGGCTGAGAACACAGCATGCACAAAGCCCTAGGTTTGATTCCCTGTACAGAGGGGAAAAAGAATAAAGAACAGTAGCAAAAATTTTTAAAGGGAAGAAGGACCCAGGGCATCAGGCACACAGAGATGACCCCAAGACCCAGATCTGTGCACAGCTGGCCACGTAGATGGCACTTGTGGAGTGCTTGTTAAATGCCAGGCACTGTTGCAGGTACCTCGCAAGCAGTAACTCCCTAAGCCCCTGCTGCTCCACTATACAGTGCAGAAACCAGAGGCACAGTGGGGCCAAGTAGCTTGCCCAAGGGACCTGACTGGTGTATGTGAAAGCTGGATGTGAACCCGGGTAGTCTGGCCCCAGAACCTGCACATCTAACTGTGCTGTATGACAAAGGCTGTACCTGCATTAGGGAGGGCAGGGGCAGCTTCACGGGACAGAGAAGGCAATGCCTCTGGGGATGGGGTCACGGCCCAGGGTTGGCAAACAGTCCCAGGTTCTGCTGGTTTGCTCAGTGCAGGCACTGGTCCTCTGGCCTGGGCATTACTTTTCTGGAGTCTGTGTCCTGTCTTCAAAGGCCCTGCAGTTTTCTGACTGGAAACTCTCAAAGGGAAGGGTGCTGCTGCCAAGGGCAGGTCAAAGAAGTGCAGCTGCCAAAGCCTGTGCTACCATCTATTTTTCCTGATGAAAAAGCCGGTCAGATGGTCCATAAATTGCCTAGTGCTCCGATTTCCTTGCAGCATGACTACCCCTAGAGTTCCTGTAAGGGTGGGTTCTCAGAGCAGCTTTTGAGGGTCCTGAAGAGAACTTTCTCCCCAGAATCCATCTCCTCTTCCCACACACACACACACCCCTCACTGGCAGTCCTTGTTTCCTCCCTGGTCCGTGACCCCCCACCCCATCATGTCTGCTCCACCTTAGCTCTACCTGAGTATCCTTGGTGCCAGGCACTACACCGAGCCTGTGCATGCCTCATCTCACTGTCCCCAGGTGACACATACCGTTTTCCTTTTCAGGTGTGAAAGCTCTTGTTCCACAAATGCTGAATTGAGCTTGTTGCAGGTAGATGGAAGCTAAGTATTCCCGGAGACTACCGGGGCCCATAGGTACACTTCCTGCTGCAGTGGTTCCCAGGGGACCAATGGGTGGAAGAGTTGGCCCCAACCTTCCTGCTGATGAGTAGGGCCAGGCAGGAGAGGCCTGTGCAGAGGAGAAAGGCAGGATCCACAGCTCCACCCACTGTAGAGGGCAGAAGAGGAAAACCAGAGGATCTCACTGATTTAACAGGTAACTGGCCCTAGAAGAAACAAAAGGTGACAGTTGGAAACCTTTTGTGAGGTCTACATACCCAAGATGTACAGGTAGGGAAGTCCAGGCTGGCCCTACCTAAATTGCCGATATGCTTAGATCTAGTTGCAGCTACATTTCCAGGCCACAGCGTCACCTGCAAGGCAGATCCCCATCGGCTAGTCCAAAGAGCTGGTGATCGCCAGCTTCACGTGAGGACTGTGAACTACAGCACCGATACCGTCCTATGAAGCAGAGGGCAGCAGTAGGCACCATCCAACAGCCTTCTGACATGATTGGCAGGTATTATCATACCCATTTTATAGATGGAGAAACCAAGCCTCAGAAAGCTGGCTGGCAGTGGAGCCAGGCAGGATCTCAGCTCAGGCCTTTTGCCAAAAATTCCTGTGCTCTCCAGCTGTCTCTCCTAAGGCAGGGGGGTGGGGGGAGGGTGGAAGGCAGAAGATGAAACAAAAGTCTGCAGTTTGGAGAGGTCCAAGAGCCAGAGTCTGTGCCTTGGCTCTGTCACGCCGCCTCTGCTGCTAAACCTACCCACTCCTGCCAGGAAAGGCAAACATCCCCAGACGGAGCAGCCTTCCCAGGCTGTCAGCCGATTAAAACACAGAAAATTGAGCTACTTAAAGAGGATTGTCGAGGCGGGGGGTGGATTTTTTTTTTTTTTAAACGTCTCAATAGCTGGCAAGATAATTGCGGGCATTATTTTTTTATTCCCTTCAGTGGCTGCCTCAGCTGCAAACCCTTGTCAGCCAGAATGTGGAGGTCAAGGCCATCTCCCCTGATGAAGAGATACTCAAGTTGTCTAAATTTGCCAATTTTTTTTCTGAAATATGAAACCTGTAATTTCCTGGTCTGTGTTCTGTTACTCGGCCGTCCAATTCCTGAACTCCTACCTAGGAACACCTAGGTACACATATATCCATATAAACTGCAGCAACCCTATCAGGTTGATGTTAGTGGTTCATATCCATTCAATTAGCCACTCAAAAGTGGCTTACAGTGAATGAATTCCAGGGACAACATCCGCCACTAAACTTACATCCCCAGAGCTGGTTCCAAGAATGGAAACTGTACAACACCCCAGCCAAATTGTAATATTATCCTGACTGAAGCCGTTGGAAGGTAGATCTACACACTAGCCAACCCTTCTCCCTTCTCCCTTCCCCCTTGGAGGCGACCCTCAGAGGTGGACTCTTCTGCCTTGGACGGTTTTGTTATTTACTGCAGCTTTTGTTCACTAATTTATCACCTTTATATATTTATGCTCCCCAATTATTCAACAGTATTTAATAATTGCCCACTACATATGCACTGGTAGGATGTTTGCTTCAGTTTGCAAAAATAATGTACACATCTTTGGGGCTCTGGTTTCTTAGGGACTCTTCAGAAAGATGAACAAATAATATATACTGAAGTCTTTGGACACAAAACACGACTAGCAATGCACACATCTGAGAACAGGTGCCTAATAGAAAATTTCTAGGGTTGGTTCAAAAGAGAAAGAAGTGCCAATTATAAAGTTTTGGGACTCTTCTCTAAATCAGGCAGCCAGGAGAACATATGGACAGTACTTTGATTTTGAAAGAACACAGGGAATTTCACCCCAGAATGTGACACACTTCCATGCTGATTATTTTAAAGGTCCATGGAGACCAGCAGCACTCGAAGACACTTTACTCTGATGGTCCTGTATCTGCCTAAAGATCCACCAAATAGGAAAGGATTGCCTTTGGTCCTTGTCCTGCATTTTCCAAAACTAAGAGTGCAGGGAGGAAGACTGAGGAAATCCCACAGCTAGATAGACTTTGTCACAGACTACCGTTCATCTACCAGATCCATTCGTCTTTCCGGAGAGTCGCATACAAACTGTTGCTTGTCTTCTTGACCTATTCATTCCCCCTAAAGATCATTTAATTCCTCAAAATAACCTACATCCCTTCATCTCCCTCCGCCCTGTGAAGAAGGTAGAAACATTTAAACTTCGCTGGCTTATGGCCTGATCCCTCTCCTGTGGTTCCCCTGTGCATGTTAAATAAATCTGTGTCTCTTTTCTCCTGATAATCTATTGTTAGTTCATTCCAACAAACTTTCTGAAGGCCAAAGTTCCCTTCACCCCTACAATTGCATTAATTACCTTACCAAATATTTGTTGAACATCTCCCATGTTTGGCCTGGAAGAGACTTTTGCGAAAATAACAGTTGACAGCCCAGTGGGGAGGCTGTATCCATTTTTTAAAAATGCAAATCACAGTCTAGAACAGCGGCAAGATCCGGGAGTGATGGGGTAATTTGGCTCTTGGGAAATCTTCAGAAAGGCACATTCTGCTGAAAGTGGAGCTGCTTATATCTTACCTGCCTGTTGCCAGCCACAATTCTCAGCAGCTGAGGATGTGGAGGTCACTCCTCCTGACTCAGTTCTGACCCTCACTGGTGAAAAGGGGAACAAGGGGTTTATAGGTCCATCCAGATCAACAAGACCTGCCCAGGCATCTCAGAGTCTCACCTTTGGACTCCTGCTCAGTCTCCTTTGCCAGTGCTCAGCCCACTCTCCCACTTTTTGTAGCTTTCCATGCCTGTTTTGGTTTCTTCCTCTCCTCACAGACATTAGTAACCACAAGTCTAGTCCTTGCATCACCCAGCCAGCCTCAGGAAACCAGACTCCTTCAGGTCTCTGAAGGTCCTGGTCTCTGGGAACTCAGTTTGTCCTGCTCACAGAGGTGGGACCCACCTACCAACAAGGACGTAAAAGTAGCTTTTTGTTTTTGTTTGTTTGTTTGTAGAAACACATGTGTCTGCTGGACTGAGAGCTCACAGCTAAGCTCAGGTTTTAAGAGGGCACAGTACCTAAAACACTGTAAGTATCCAATAAGTGTTAAGTGGTATTAATACTATTATTATTGAATCCAAGAATGATGGAGGCTTATAATAAAGTAATATAACAAAGCAAGCTTTAAAAGCTGGGTTTTTTTTCAGAGCAGGAATAACAGGGACAGACTCATTGTTCCAACAGATGGCATGATGCTAACAAAAGACTGAAGACATTTAAAGTCTCTTTTCTCCCAACATTTTTCCATTTTACTTATGAAAGAGAATAATCAGCAATCTGGAAAGTGTAACAAACATGATTATAGGGGAGTTGGGGCCCATAGCATCGATGCAGCTCTTGAGGAGAGCCCTTCTGCTCCTCCTGAGCTCAATTCTTCTGATTCCAACCAACTATAACCAAGAACCGTACAGTGTGACTGCAGAGCCCCCACTGGTAAATAACTGAAATCAGGAAGCCGAGAGGGGTGGGAGAAATAGGAACGGGCAAATGTTGGCCATGTTTAGTGGGGGCAGGGGGAACCCTGAAAACCACAAATTGCGGTGTTTGATGTTGCTGTGCAGTAAAACAGGCTTTGAGCCCGTCTTATAAAAGATGGCAGATGCTACTAGTAGCCCACTAGGAGCGATCAGTCAAATAACTTCATCTCCACTGTTGATAGGTAGATGGGTACATGGAGACACTGGTATGCAAGTCGTATATATGCTTTAGCAAAGCACCCAACAATGGGCAAGAGAAAGAAGTAAGGGCTAAATTTCAAGTATGATTAGCCAAATTGTAGACTGGTTCAGCATCACATTATACAGAAGTGTTCACCATAAGCACATGACAGCTGCTAGGTAAATATTTGTTGATGAATCAAGATGGAGGGAGGTCTCTGGTGGCACGCCCCCGTCTCATTCAATGTTCCTTCTCACTGATTCAAATGATGACTTATGAGTCCTTGTATCAATGTGCAGAAAGCAAAACTTGGAGGGAAAAGTAACACATTCAATAAGAAAATCCAAGATTTGAAATAAAGCCAAAAGTTTAGGATGGTGGGCCAAAGTCTAAATGAAATAAAAAGAGACAACTGCAAAAGATTCATTAGATCCCTAAAAGCAAGCGACATGCCTGATCCTGTAGCAGTGGTATAGGAGATCTATTGTGTTGTAAGGGTGAAAGTTCTGTTTCCTATATAATATTAGTAGAAACACAACATGCAGTGTCAGTGGGTTAAGAGCAGCATCAGAAGAGACAATGTTGGCTGTAGGCTATTTATATTCACAGGACCCTCTACAGAGCAGAAAATCAAATCAGACTTCAATGAAATAAAACCATAGACCTGGTTAAGATGGAACTAAGTGTTGATGCTCACCTCGGCCCCCACATTTTAACAACAATGCTGACAGACAAAGGAAATAAAGAATGGGAGTCTAGAAATCTTGTCCTATGAAAACCTCTGGGATTTATTTGTCTTGGATAAGAGTGACTTGGGAGAGTACAAGGGCTGTCAAAGATGTTACATGGCCAAGCTTATTTCTCGTTTTACAAGAAAGATAAAACCAAGTGACAGAGTTCAACATTCTTCAGATGCTGAGCTACTAGTATACTTTGCTTGGTGAGGCACTGAACTCCCTGACCCTCAGCCTTCCAGCACAGGTCAGAAGGGTGTTCTACTCAGAGACGCTCTCTCCCTCCCTCTTAAAATACCCGCATTACTGCTGAGACCTACTGAGCCGGTGCCCTCATCACTGTTGGTTTCATGATTATAAATTTCACACAGCCTTCTTAAGGTCTACCTTCCACAGCATGTAATTTACCCACTGCGAGTGAACAATTTGATGGTGCATAGTAAATTTACAGTTGTGCAACAATTAACTCAATCCCTGCCCTAGCCTAGAACACTTGTAAGATGGTTTTTGCCTTTGCTTCCTTCCCTCTGCCTCTGTCATCTGGGGTTAGGGAGTGAGTGGGGAGAGCAGGCATTATATCTGTCTTTAGTAGATTACTAGGCAGCAGAGTGCAAAGGAAGTGGACTTTGGAACTCAGGCCCATATTTGAGTCATGCTCATGTGGTCTCCAGCAAGTCACATTACCTTTCATTAACCTGAGTTTCCCCCTTTGTAATGTAGATGCAACAACACAGGAGCCTTGAGGAGGTGGAAGATAGGGGAACACACACCACTGACGCCTATGACAACATGCTCGATAAATGGCAGCCAGGATTGCTGCTGCTATTGCTGTCCCCTTTATCATCACTGGCGAATGTCTTTTGCTATAGGTTCCTGGTTCACCTTTTCTAGGCACATCCCTGGCTGTACCGCAGTTTTCTGAGTCACTCCTGGTGTCCAGGCCTTAGCACAGGCAAGAAGATTCCCTGGAAACCTCTAGACCATTCCAGCCAGGGCAGCATATGGGGCAGCTGAGGCGAGGCAGCAGCACCATCTAGTGGCACTGAGTAGCAGTACGCAAGCACTGACCAACTAGGTATAGGAAAGTAGTCATCTAGGCCAATCATCCATCATATGTTCGTGCGCGCGCATGTGGGACGCTCCACATCACAGTAAAAGAGAAGGATGAGAATGGAAAATAGAGAAGCCAAACGTGGTAGCACATGTCTGTAGTCCCAGCACTCAGGAGGCTAAGGCAGGAGGACTGCCATGAGTATGAGACCAGCCTAAGCTACACAGTGAGTTCAAGGCCAGCATGAAATACACAGCAAGGCTCTATGTCAACCTTTGCCCCCAAAATGAAAACTACAAGAGAAAAAAAGTTCTCAGTGTAGTGTCGCTCAAGCGACTTCTGGGTAGTGAAAAAATAAAAGCTTAAAAGCATCCTCAATCCCAGCCACTTATGCTAAGGCAGGAAGATCTCAAGTTTAAGTCCTGGAAACTTATCAAGACCCATCCCTAAATAAACAAATAAATAAATAGAGCTGAGGATGTAGCTCAGTGGTAGACCACTTGCCTAATATATGCGCCCTGGGTTTAATTTTTTTTAAAAAGCCTGACCACCAAATCCATAAAGTAAATCAGTGGTTAAAGGTTGTCTATTGCTAGGTCTACGAGGTTATGGAGGAAATGGGAAAAATGGAGAGTGACTGCTAAAGGGGACAGGGTGTCTTTACAAAATGTTCTCAAATGATGATGTTTGCACACAGCTGTGCTTTAAAACAGGTGAGCTTTATGGCACGTGAATTATGTCACAATAAAGTTAACACCAAAAAGTGTTTTAAAATATTAAAAGTGTCAAAAGAATAAGAGACTCTCCACAGTATATCATCAGATTTCCTCTGTGCTGCTGGACAACTAGTACCAGGTACAAGGCCGTGATGAAGTGAAGGCAGTGATGGCGAACTTTTTAGAGCCTTCAATGACAGAAACAGCCTGCTGTAGCACTCGTGCTGTAGGTTTGCCACCACTGCTTTAAGGTGTCAGAGAAAACCCTCTTTGAAACTTAGCCCTGCAGGGGAGGGGAGGGGAAGGGAATAAAATAGAATCAAGATGTATTATATACATATTTCAACTTGCAACAATGAAAGTGATAATAAGGTACTGCAACTGTGTGCTAATAATTTTTTTTAATATTCCTTCTGTCCTGAGTAATACCATATGTAAATATCCCCAGCCATGCTAACATTATTTATGCAGCATTATTTATGACAGCTCAAATTATATGCACTATAAAATACAGAACTGAATCTCAGAGCCCCAACTGTTCAAATTATCCCACATTTTGGGTATTCACAAAGAGCTCAAAGAGCTGTACCTGAGGCAAGCCCAGGAACTTCCATTTCCAGGAAAGGAAGTCAAGGGTCAGAGGTTGAATAGTCCGGTTAGTGAATGGACAGGGCTTCAGGGACCCGATTCCAGCTTTGGAGCTCTCCCACTCCTTTGATAAGGGTAACCACAAACTGTTTACACCTGCTGTCACTGCAATTAGCAACAGTACCCCTTCCCCTCTCAAGGTAATATAAAGTCCACAGCCACCTAACTAGGAGCAGTCTTTACCTGGGCTCTGTCTGTCCACTACTCTGCAGTTCAGGACTGACACTGTAAATGGGTCTGCAGCACCTCAGTCCTTTTAAAGCACCAGCTCACCTGCTCCCCAGGACCCTCACCTGTGCAGAGACAATGACGCCAGAACACAAATGTGACCTTTCCTCACTTCCTCCACCCAACCCTTCCTCCACAGAAAGCAAGCCAACTACGGGATAGTGGACATTACTGGATTCAGGGCTTCCTTTGGTGGTGATGGAAACTGTCTAAAATTAGTGCTAAGGGCTGTACACTCTTTAAATATACTGAAACCCACAGAATTGAACAAAGTGAGAGGAAAAAAGAAAGAAAACAGGATATGCCCCAGCAGTGTTTTTATGCAAGCATCCCAGCTGGTCTTACAGCACTGAGCATGGTCAGAGAGCACAGAGCTTTCCACATATCAGGCGAATACAAAGAGCAGGAAAAGAGATGAAATAATCCTCCGGCCCTCCCTCATCACTTCTATTAACAGTGCTGCTCAGTTTGTGGCCAGCACTGCTGTTCACATTTGGACACCAAGATATCCCAGAAAAAGACAGCACAGCATTCCAAGGCATGTGTCATTTAATCCTCACTGCTCTATGAGGTAGGGTTAGTATTCCCATTTAACAGTTAAGCAAGCTGAGTTTCAGAGGTATGAAGACTTAGTAGGAGTGACCTGAGGCCAGCAAGCAGAAAGCAACACATCCAGGATATAAGCATGGCTTTCAGAAACCCAGATCTTTGTTTAAAACCACTAAACTGATGTGCCCCTCTCTTACATTTACCCCAACTCACCAGCTCCAAAGTTACAGTGTGAAAGCTACAGTGAAAGTGTATGGAGTGTGCCCATGAGAAATACAGCTAAGGCCTAAAGGTCAGGCCAGCACCTCCAGGTATCCCCTGCACACACATCCTTGGGAGGGGAGGTTCCAAGAGAAAGCATGAGATGAAGAGATAGGTATTTTAAAGTAATTCAAGTACATGGCTGTCCTTCCAAAGTAAGTCTTTTATTGTCCAACCGGTCACCAAGTGGTTAATGAGGCCTAGCACCATAGCTGGTACAATGTACTGAGCACAATCACAGAATTGTTAAGATACAGTCCCTGCAAATTTGAGGCATACAATCTAAATATTTCTCAAAGATTGCTCCATGGTAACAAACCCAATCTGGATTTAGTTGCCACTGTTGCAACAAGCATTCTTTAGGGTTAATATTTTAAAGGAAAACATTACACCCCACATTTATCATTGCATGAAATTTTTTCCTAGTATAACTTGTTATCAATAAACAGTATTTACTTTTATTAAAAATGTAGGGCCTGTGATTTAGCTCAGTGGTGCCACCACCTGCTTCGTGAGCACAAGGTCCCGAGTTCAATCCCCAGTGCCAAAAAAAATATATATATATATTTTTTTACCTTATATCCACCCACCCCTTTAATTTGAATCAAGATTTGTTTAAAAGGAATTTTGAAAGGATAAATAATGGGAATGCTTAGTTACCAATGTGGCTGATAGTTGTCTGTACAAAAGAGCTCAAACTGAGGGAACCCAGCTCATTATTAATATTCAGAAGTTAACATAAAGCACATTTCCAAAGTTTCTAAGACATTATTGCCATCAAGAAAAGGGAGTCAGTGCCATGGAGAGTAGTCTAGACAAGATATGTTTTTCAAGCCGGGCGTGGTAGCGCACACCTGTAATCCCAGCTCTTGGGAGGCTGAGGCAGGAGGATCGCTGTTAGTTCGAGACCAGCCTGGGCTACATAGTGAGTTTCAGGTCAGTCTCGACTACATAGTGAGACCCTGTCTCAAAAAAAAAAAAAAAAGATATGTTTTACACAGGAAAACTTAGCACCAACCGGGGGACAATATTAGGGGTTGCCAGGAGCTTCATCCCCCAAATTAACTTAACTCTCTCATAAAATCTCAAAATTTACAGGTGTGTAGTTCTGGGAACAGAAAACAAAAGCTTAAGGTCAACTAAGACAGCTGTACATGTTGACAGAAACGTCATCCAAGTATGAGCCTCCTGCTTCACACGAAGAAGATGCAGTACAGACCAGGGAAGAGGGGGCAGCAGCCTCGGGGGGCCTGAAACCTGAGACGATGACACCAGGACACAAATGTGACCTTTTATGGCTTCCTCCACCCCATCCTCACTCCACTATGGACCATGGGGCTCCAGGAAAGAGCCTTGTCCCAACCTGGGTGATTCCCTCAAATAGTCTCCTTTTGGCAAAAAAAGAGAGAGAGAGGGGCTGGAAGATTTTCTAGTGTTACCGTCCTGAAACTGTAGGAAAAAGATCACTGATTTCTTTAAGTAAAGCATGTTCAACCAGGGAGTCTGGGCTAAAATAGAACTTAAAGGAACATTCCAATCTGAACCTCTTCACACTTGCAGTAAGCAAGTACCTTTTTTTTCTTGAGGACCTTCTGTTGTAAAGCACTGAAAAATGAGCTGTTAGCCTTGCAGTAATGGGAAAGGATAATTCATTCCTTCCTTTTTACAAAAGATACCAAAGTCTAACAGGACTCCTGGTGTGCAGCAATACAGACCCAGGACTACAACAACTGATCCTGTCCACATTCCAATTCTCCTTCCTACCCTGAAGACTACTCTGGCTAACACAGACCAGAGAGCCCCTCTTCTGAGTTCCTCCATCAACTGCAAAAATGATCATCAAAGCTACTGAAATGAAAAGTAGTGTTTACAATGCAATACTTGTAGCATGTATAAGGCACAGTGTGAGAAAGCTGCCCCTATTCCCAGCCACACAGCCACGAGGGCTCCTCATTCGCACACATGCACACAGAAGAGGCCAGCTGATTTTGTCACAATGCAAAGGAAACGAACTGCTTCTGGTCACTTCTGGTTTTTCAGCTGGTTGGAGAGCCAGTCTAGGCCTTCGTAAAGCCCATCTCCACTGGTAGCACAAGTAGCCTGAATATACCAGTTTCTCTGACGAAGGGAATGTAAGCCGAGCTTGTCCGTTATTTCTGCTGCATTCATGGCATTGGGAAGATCCTTGAAAAAGAACGTGCAAAAGTCAGTTTATCATGCTATGTCTACACTATAAGATATGTTCTTCCTCCTAAAGGATTCCCTAACGCAGTCTTCTCTACCTCAGTTGTTCTGGCCAGAAACCTTAAAATCATCCTTAATTTTTTCTCGCAAACCCAATGCCAATCTATCGGGAATCCCAACAGTCCTACCATGAAAATATATATAGACTACCTCTCACCACTCCCATTGCTACCACCCTGATCCAACCCCACCAGTATCTGACCTGGATTACTGAAATAACCTCTTGACTTGTTTCCACACTTCTATTCTTGCCCCCAAACCTCTTCTCAACCCAGTAGTCGGTGAAAGTCAGATCATTACATCTACCAAAACTCCAGCACAGCTCCTCTTTGAGGTAAGAGCTAGAGTTGCTACAATGGCCTGTAAGGCCTTTAAAGCCTAAGCCCAAGGTTGCCTCCTCATTGGCTTGCTCCACCTTCTAAGTGTAGTACTCACCCTACATAACCATATCACAAAAATTATTTATTTAGTATAAATTATTTGTTTAGTATTTGTTTAGTAAAGCTTATAAGCTTTACAAGAGCAAGAAATCTTTATCTTGTTCTCTGATGTATGCCAAGTGCCTAGAATAGTGATGGCAAACCTGTGGCACACATTCTTTTTCTTTTAAGACAAAATATGTTAATGTATCAGTTGTTTTTCTACACTAAAACCTCAGTATTCAAGTTTAATTGTAGTGTTGGCACTTTGTGATAAATAAGTGGGTTTGGGGCTGCATTCTGGGCACTCGTCTCTAAAATGTTCGCCATCACTGGCCTAGAACCATGTCTGGCATACAGAAAGAGCAAACTAAATTTAATACATTAGCACTGAAGAGCAAGGAAGATATAGATGTTCCAACATGGGAGGATATCAAAGATATGCTAAGTAAAAAAGCAGGCTGCAAAACAGAATGGATACTGCAATCTCTGAAATTTAAATAAAAATCACATGATCACTTACACATAGGTATAGAAAGTTCTACGTCTATAAAGAAATAGAAGAAATTTAATAATATTTTACCCTGAACAGTAGGACTGGAATATCTCATTTGATATTCTGAATTGCTTTTCAAATTATACCCTGAACATGTTCTATTTTTATAATTAACAAATTCATTATTTTCTTTTTCTTTTTTTTTTTTTTTTTTTTTTTTTTTTTTTTTTTTTTGGGGGGGGTACTGGGGATCAAACTCAGGACCTTGCACTTGTAAGACAGGCGGTGGCACCACTGAGCTAAATCCCCAAGCCCATTATTTTCATTCTTAAAGTCTATTATAGTGAAACTACACTGACATCCAACCTGAACAGCAGGTTAACGGTTATGTGGATCATGATTCAGGCACCATGGAAAATTGTCTTTACAGAGTGGGATGACAAGAGGAAATGCAGCTAATACATTTTAAGTGACCCTACAGGCTGCAATATTGTCAAAACAATCTAACCTCAATTACATAATGCATTCATGGAGAGAAGGTGTAAGGAAACATATTGTCCATAACAATGGTCACCTCCCACCTCTGCTGACAACTGTTCCATGTGACTCTAATTTCTTTCTCCTGTTCAGTTCAGTTTAGATCCTGGAAAGTTCCATGCCAGCCCTCCTCCTAGTCTTATTTTCCTGCTTTATATTTATCTAAAAGGGCTCTTGCCTCTACAACCTCAGGTCCTATAGATCCAATCTCACTTCCTCCCTTGCTTCTTCTCATTTTGTTCCTAGAACCACATGGGTCCCTTTCCTCCTGGTTCATATGTCATCTTATCAGGGTCACAGCTACTCTGCCCTCTTACTCTACACTCTGCTTTATGTTTCTCTACAACACTTACCACCTGAAACATTACATTTACTGACTGTCTCTACTCCCAACTACAATGTGAACTCCAAGAACACTGAGAATTTTGACTGACTTATTACTACATACTCAATACCTAAAATAAAGCCTCAAAGTTAGTACATGCTCAAATGCTAGTTATTTGTTGAATGAATGAATGAATGAATATAACACATTCTAAAAAGGAAATGGTGGGAGAGGTTATAGTTAGGACAAGAGAGAAGGAGGCAGACATCTAGTTTACATATCTACACATGTGAGACAACTGGTAGTAAGTTTCAGTTTCAGTGCTCAAAAAGCCAAAACAACATACCTGTTTATTTACAAACACCAATAAAACTGCATCTCGGAGCTCATCTTCTGCTAACATTCTAGTTAGTTCTTCCCGGGCTTCGTTAACCCGCTCTCTGTCATTACTGTCAACTACAAAAATCAGACCTGGAAAGAAATCATAAGCATGTTAGTATTGTGAAGCTGCCAAAAACAGTGGTTTATATATCTGTACTGTTTCACCCTGCTTATGTGTGTGGATTCACTGAAAGAAAATTATATGAGAGGACACATAATCTCCAGAGTTAGAAAGCTGGCTATACACTCAACTCATTTATCTTTTTCAGAAATATCATAGCAGATGGTGGAGTGGTGAGCAGCAGAGAAAGAGCTTCTCTGAGATTTGGTGTCCTGACACTGGAATATAGCAGCAGGAGGAGAGGAGGGAAGTGGGTCCCTAGGACCCAGAAAAGATCTGAGGTGAGAATTCAAGTCCACAGGGAGAGTGAAGAAAGAGACAGTAATGAAGAGGAGGGAGGCAGCAAGCAGCAGCATCTCCCAGAACCCGGATACTTGGCAAGGGAATGGAGGGGCCAAATCTGTAGATGCACGGTGACTAGTGGTGATTCCACAGGCCTCCACAGAGAAGTACATCAGTAGGCTCAATCAACTGCAACAGCTGGTGAGTTATCCAGGTTCAGATGTCACCCAGGAGAGGGTGACTGGCAGGTAGCCATCTTGGAGAGGGGTCAACTGAGCTCAGAACTCAGAACAATTACTAACCAACCCCATCTAGTGGCTACCAGTGCCTCAGTCGGGGTGCTCAGTAAGTCAGCAGGAGTTCAGGGAGCAGAGTTCAAGCCAGCAGGAGGCACATAAACCATTGTAGGCTCAAGGAATCTAGTTCCAGCCTCATAGCCAGAAACCACAGAAACTAAAGGGGCAGGCTGGCTGCATTATCAACAACCCATTGTGAAGCTGTGGCTGTCTTGCTGGGATTAATCAATTTGGATCTGGATTCTATTTCTGCATTGCCTACCAGTGACAGCAGATACAAATCTTGAATTAGATGTTTCCATTTTTTATTTATTTTTTTCTTTTTCTTTTCTTTTTTCCCTCCTTTCTGGTTCTTACTTTGTTTTTTTGTAGAATGAAAAAAGTTTCTAATTGTTTTTGCTGTTGTTCTATTTTGTTTTTGTTTTGTTTTTCCTTTTCTCCTTCCCACCTGTCTTCTTCACCAGTTTCCTAAACTTTGGCCTTCAGTCTTGTTCTGGTATCTTCCTCTTCTTCTATTTCTGCCCCCTCAACCCATTTTATTTATTTTATTTATTTCTGGTACCAGGGATAGAACTCAGGTCCTTGCACTTGCGAAGCAGGTGCCAGAACCACTGAGCTAAATCCCCGGCCCTATCCCCAACCCATTTTAAATCTTCTCCCCTAAAGGTAAAATTGCCATATTAAGGGCCTATTTATTGAATACAATCTTCAGGTTTTATATTTTGTTATATAACCACAAATCTAGTTCAGATAAAGGTTGCAAACTAATAGTTACCACAGTTTATCATTTTCTAGGTTGTATTTGACACTATTGTTATTGTTGATTGCACTACTTTAGCCAAGATGACAAGACACATTGCCTAAGGGTCTTAAAAAATAAATAAACAAACTGTCAGCCAGTGCCAAAAAACTGGCAGCTGGACCAAGCAGGCAGAAACTTCTCATCCCCAATAAACTGAAGAGGTAGGATCTTGCAACAGACTCAAACCCCAAAAGCCAGCTATACCTGGAAGACACTTCTGAGAACTAGTCTTTTTTCCAAGGGTTCTGAATACTGGCAATAAAGCTACTCACCATAAGCAATTTACAAGGAACATGAGAAGACACTTAAACAAGATGTAAATCCCCTCCCCAACTTTCAGCTCACCAAAGGCAAATCCCTGGGGCAATGAGGTGGAAAAAGCCACCTACCTGGAATCCCTGAAGTGGTAACAGCAGAAGTAACAAAGCAGATGAATGAGGCTGTAGAAAACAATCAAAGCAGAAATGATTTCCCAGAGATGGTGACCAGAATGAAAGACATAATTAGTGACTCTAGAGCAGATACAGATTAAAAAATAAATAAATAAAGGAGCTCAGGAACATGATGGAAACCATGAATACCCAGCAGTAAAGGAATGGAAACCATGAACATCTAGAATAGAAAAGAAAAGTAATCCATGAAACAGATTCAAACATATATCTAGGAAATTAAAAACTCCACTAAAGGTATACACAGCTGAATGAATCAAAGTGAGGACAGAGTATCAGAAACAGAAGACAGGATTGTGGTAAGCAATCATGAAAAGAGAGATTTCTTCAAAATAGCAAGGGACCACAAGAAATCAATCCACCAGATGCTAGATGATGCAAAGAAGAACATAATACTGATTAGAATCAATGAAAAAGCAGGAGCTAGTGCAAATGACATAAAAAAACCTGTTTACAGAAGTAATGGCAGAAAATTTCCCAAAGAGGGAAAAAGAATTTGAGGGCCAAGGATTTAGCTCAGTGGTGCTACCACCTGTCTTGCAAGCACAAGGTCCTGAATTAAATCCCTGGTACCAAAAAAAGAAAAAAAAAGACGATTTGACACACAGATAAGTAAGGCATATAGGACTCCAGTTAGCCATGATAAAAAAAAATAATAATAATAGTAAAGATTCCAGAAATTTAACACAAAGACAGAATATTAAAAGCTGTTAGAGTCTGTGATTTAGCACACTGGTGCTGCACCTGCTTTGCTAACACAAAGTCCTGAGTTTGATCCCTGGTACAAAAAAAAAAAAAAAAAAA